ATTCCCGGTCTCCCCTACTGGTAGAGTACTGATGCATAAAAATTAGGGAGTCCGGGGTTCGAATCCCGGCGAGGGTGTGACAGCAGCAACAATTTTTCCCCATTAATTTGGGGATAATATTTAGATAATAAAAAGATAATTTCAGTTTAATGATTAATACTAAAATATTAACCTAAGGAATTATCAAATTTAAGGCCGTAAATACTTATACATACGTATCCGAAGTTTTATTGTACTCATTACAACCAACAAACTTATTATTCAGAGCTTGAGATCTTTTTTGGCTGTTAATGTTTATTGATTTAAAAAAAAATAACCTTTAACCTATTCGTTTGAGATTACCACCCGTCTATAAAATTGTAAATTTTAATGTTCCCGAGACTTGTATCTTTAGTTACTATTTTTCTATGGTTACTATTCTTACATAACACGTCATTGAACAACTGTCAGTTTGACAACCTTTTGCATTTCCGGCTCTTTCCGGCGAAAACGTCCGTTAACCTAGTAGCTTTATATTATATATTTTAAATATTAATTTTATAATGGCCGTTGGTGATTTAAAAACTGAAGCAGGTATTACCCAATTGAACAGTTATTTAGAAGATAAGAGCTATTTAAGTGGGTAAGGAATACGTTAAAAATGTATATATAGCACATGTTCTTATAATTTTAAATTTAGATACCAGCCCACCCAAGTAGATATACAAACTTTGAACAGCATTGGAAAGGCCCCAGGTGCAAATTTTCCTCATGCACTGAGATGGTACACTCATATTAAGTCCTTCACACAGGCAGAACAAAAAAATTTTCCTTCCGGAACACCAATATCCTTGGGAAGTGCTGCTCCTGCATCACCTTTGAAAACTGCTGCACCAACAACAAAACCACAGTCAGAAAAAGAGGAAGATGATGATGTCGACTTATTTGGATCGGATGAAGAAGATGAAGAGGCTGCAAAGGTCAGGGAAGAACGTTTGAAAGCATATGCTGATAAAAAGTCAAAGAAACCTGCCCTTATTGCTAAATCCAGCATAGTTTTGGACGTAAAACCTTGGGACGACGAAACTGATATGAAAGAAATGGAGAAAAATGTTAGAAGTATTGAAATGGACGGTCTTGTTTGGGGAGCTTCCAAATTGGTACCTGTTGGATATGGAATAAATAAACTACAGATTATGTGTGTTGTTGAAGATGATAAAGTTTCTGTTGACCTTTTAACTGAGAAAATTCAGGAATTTGAAGATTTTGTCCAATCTGTTGATATTGCTGCTTTTAATAAGATTTAAAATGTTTCCAATATGAAATAAATATTTTTAAACGCACTGTCTACCTTTTTATTGTGACTATTATATAAATAATTTCTGCTCGAGGTATCAATAGCATTAATAAAATTGAAGTGAAAGGTCATATAAAGTCCTTGCGTGAATGAAATGTTCCTAATACGGTTCTGTCTATAAAGCGCGCAAAAGCGAATCAATATTGCTGTAGAAAATGTCAAAAGTGCTTTTTATTAGTGTGGAGTTCTAGTGTTTTTCTTTCCATTTTATTTAGTCTTTCAAGGTAAGGTACAAAATATGACTAAAAAATTATGCTTATTTAAAAATCCTACGTACTTGCTTTCGATTGTCTTAATTTTTACGAACTTGACAGCAATCAGTTGTAAAAACGTATAAGTACAATTACATATTAAACAGGAAGTGACTCATACGACAGGACCGTATTCCAAAATTTCATTTGTTTTACATTTCAATTCTAAAAAAGAAAGTTTTGGAGTTGTGTATATGTAGATGAACACGTATAAAAATGGATTAAATCTTTTTTGAATTAGGCACTGTTTTCGAAAGTAATTATTAGGGTTATTATTGTTATCTTCTTAAAAATGAGATTCTTACGATTGAAACACGATTTAGAAATATTGTTTTATGTAAACAAATGAAACTGAAAAAAGAAAAATATTTGGTTTCTGTGTTACCGAATTATTTGCTGTTATTCCTGGAAAAAGGTGAGCTTTTCGCAAAATCTAAAAATGTTTTGAACAATGAATTTAAGAAGTTCTTGGTTAATACGGTTCTGTACGGATAGGTCATGCACACATCGATCCTTAAGGACAGAAGCTATCCCACAAACTAGCTGGCGCCAACTTATGACTCATTCTTAGCCCTCGTTATCAGATTATTACATTTTTAGTTACACGAATAGGTTTTTTTGCGACGTTTGTTAAACTCACCGATCAATTAAATTAATGTTTCAGTATAAAAAAAAGTGATCCTATTCTTAATACTTAATTAAATTATCATAATTCAAAAAAAAGAAAACAAAAACGTTGGTTTCAAAAATGGTATCCGCACAAGTCGTTTTATTATCCGTATACCAGGAGTGTCAAATAAGTTTTCGGTCAAAATTAATGTTATTATATACTAATGATACAATAATATCAAACAAAAAAAGTTATTTGTATTGATTGTTTTTCCAGTAATTCCTATTGGTTTTCGCGCTATTGATTTCAACCTCCGCTTTTTGCGCACGCGTACAAAATCGTTTTGATTGCTGTATGTCACAGAGTTGAACGTGTCTGCGGCAGATTTTGGGCAAAATGTTAAATAGTGAAGTAATGTGGGTTGCGGCTGAACTAATTAGACATTTCTAGTTTAAATAGCCAACTTTAAATCAGTTTCATTAATAATACTGAAAAACAATTTGTTTTGGGTAAGTGGTCACCATTACTAATGTTTTCCTTCAATTATTTAATAGGGTGTTGCGCTGATGTCTGTGCGAAGTAACGTAAAATTTGTAAGTAATAGTCTCATCGAAGTTACTACGCCTTAATACGATTGCCTTTTGTTTAAAAAATGCTTTTGCTTAATCTTTATACTCAATTCCAGTGAAAAAACTTTAAAAAAGTGCGATTTTTCGAGCTCAATATTGATGCGTTGCCCGTTGCGCGATCAATATACCCATTGTTATTATTCCTTAACTTTATTTTTTTAGAATTTCTACATCCTTTTTATTACGAAATTAGAAACGATTTCTCTTAATAATTAATTTTTCAGTAAAAAAGAAATCATTTCTGTGATACGTGCATCATCGTCATTAATGCGAATATACATTTCTTATCTTCGTTTTAGAAAAAATAGAAGCAACCTTGAACTTTACAAAATTTTATCTAATTAATTATTTTAGTTGTTTTTGACAACTCTGTAACAGTTAGTAGAATATACTGAAAATAAATATTTTAAACAATTACTCAGTAAATGAACGAAAACATATTATTTCTCAATTTAGTAAAATGCTTTTTATCAAAAAAAAATTGTAAAAAAATTTCTTTCTGACATAGGTAAGTAACCCAGTTAGTTTATTTAAAATCAATATCTTCAGCGTGTTTTTCTTTAGCGTTAGTCATAAAAACTGTCTGGAAGGCCAGGACGTTCATCTCCTCCTCCTTATCTTTCATATGGTACCTATTTTCTGAACTAAGGGTTGTAAAAGAAAGAAAAATCTGACTGTCATTATTAACAGTATAAAGGCTGGAAGATAGATAGTTTTTAAAATTAATTTATGAAGAAAGAAAAGCAACCTTTTCAAATTGGGAGTTGAATGCATATTCAGGGAAATTTCCAACCATAAAATACTTTTCACTGATACTCTATAACAACTTGATACATTTTGCTATTTTCAGTTGATTTAATAAAGGAGAAATTGANGATAAAACATTGAAATAGTGTATCTCATAGATTGAACAATTATTCTACCTATAGATCAATCATAGAGCATGGGTGTGTTCCGAAATACAACCCAACATACTAGCCAGTGCAGATGACTTCATGAATAATACTAAATACACCAACAAATTAACTGATTGTGAGATGAAAACTGAGGAAACAGGAATGAGCTATAATTGTATTGCACCAATTTATCGTATTAAGAGCCCGGTGCATTAGTACCGTACATGTTTTTTTGGGAGTCCCCTTTTCAACAAAAAAAGTTGAAAACAAAGAACCATAAAATTTCTTGTTATAGTACGATAGAAACAACTGTTTTACAAAATTCTAAATCTTTGTACAAAATACTTAACTTTTAATTATAAGAACGTATCAACAGTCGTAATGTACAGTACACAACGCAAAAGTACACGATTCAGACAGATATTCAAAACAAAGTGAAAAACATTAATTTACATTAAGGTTTTTGTATTATGAAATCAAAATAACTTCGTACTAAAGAAATTTGTACAGATTATTTTATTAAAATCAGAAAAGGTAATTGTTTAAAAATTTCGAGTCACACTGTATATTTCTAACTTTGTCTAGACTGTAGCCCACTCGATTAATTTCAGTGTGTGGCGACGGTATAATACAATTTAAACTTAAAATAAACATTTTTAAATATTGTTTGTGGTTGCTCTTATAGGCAACCCACTGTACTGCAAAGTATTTTTATCGTCAGTGCAGCAGTAGTTGTAATTCCTTTAAGGACTTCGTTTTTAAAAAGATGGTTCAAAATATTTAGTAGTACTTTTTAGATTTGGGGTTGAAAGTGAACCCCGGTAATTTCTAAGTATATTTCTTTTTCACTGAAACCTCACAATAATTTTAATATATGTAATTTTGTACTGTTGGCTCATTTAGGATAAGCGAAATTATTTTATCAGGAACTAAAAAGGACGTTTTTAAATTGGGAGTTCAAAGTGCACCCCGGTAGTTTCTTATTTTAAACTTGAATACATTTGGGGACTTTTAGGATCATTTAAATAGGGAGAAGTTAATTTTAAATTTGAAGAAAAGTACGAAAAAATTAATCCTACCTTTTTAATGTAGTGTCGATGGTTTGGAAAGAACAATTCTACAATAACAGCATTTCTGTGTGCACTTCCATAGTCAACAATCCAAAAATACTTAAAAAGAACTTCGAAGGCGGATAGTTCGAGGAACTAAAACAATAACAACTTTATATTGTAATTAATAAGAAAAAATGCTAAAGTCCTACCTTTCTTTATAATTCCAAAGTGCAATCCAAATTTTCTTATGGCAATTACCCTTTTTACTCACATCACCTGGTTACCCCCGGTGTCCTGGTTATTTCTAATCCAAGTTCACTCTAAGGAAGCCAAGCCAAGTATTTTTCACTCATCAGAATTCACTACCACTAAACTGCACATGCAACTTAGTAAGAACTTGATGATTTTGGAAATTTTCCAAAAGATTAACAAATACATTAAAATATTTCATCCAATCTGGAAAACATCAAAGCCTGTTAATGATTTTTAGTATGAAAGAAACAGTTCTCAAATATACACAAGTAATACATGTCGACTCCCTAATAACTTTCTAATGTATGAACAAAATATACAATTGTTATATTAACAGTAAGCTATGATGAAGTATTATAGTGCTATGTACTATACAAACTAATTGCATTACAATAATTGCTACAAGTTACATAATTGGTCTATTATCTATCTATACATGTTGCTAAAAACTTAAGCTTTTGTACCACAAATGAGTTTCAGTGGAGTGATAAAAAGTAAAATTAATTATAAGTTACAGTGTAATAATTATTTAGTAATTTTAATTTAGTGTTCTATAAATAATCAATTAAATATCTGGAAATTAATACAATTTTAAAAGTTTTCCTACATTATTTTAAGGTAATTATTGCTATAAAATAAATAAATGAGACAGTAAAATGTTTATTTGAAAATATTACAACTTAAATGTAACAATTGCTATCGCAGGATTTCATTTTCTTTGCTAAAATTAATAAATATACATTTATTTACGACGAATGGATATTTCTCTTATTTAATATCTTGACTGCCTCTGTTTTTGCATTGCGGCAACACATTTTGCCATTGTAGAGGATGCTCGACTTATAACATCAGTCATATAAAAGTCTTCCAATGCAGTTTGGCTGACACACAATGGAGCATCAACAAGAGGCACATCTGATTCCTACAAAAATACAAAGCTGTTTTAAAATGTTATTATCTAATAATATAAAAATAATTGGAAATAATATCCAATAGTATGGTAATAACTAAAACACTACGTAATATACCTAATTATTGAATAAATTACTTAATAATATGCTACTAATTGCAAATATTAAGTAATATGTATGCAATATGATAATGAAATTTACTTCAAACTTAGAAAGAGAAAAGCTAATTTATTTTATTTAAAGCAGAAGTAAAAATTGAATAATTAATTTACCTGTGCCAACTGTGCTGCTTCTCCGGAAAAGCTGTTCTGTTCCAAGTTGTTATATCGGGTGAGATGGGGGGCAATTTCTTGCAGCCTATTTCTGACTTCATCCAATGTGTCGTAAGGTAAACGATATCCAACGATCTCTGAAAGGGCTCGTATTATTTTCCAGTCTTCGCGAGCTAAGCCTGGGGGCGACACGGCCATTATTGTCTCTTGAGTACGACCTTCTGTATTCACGTATGTCGCTTGTTTTTCGGTATACGCAGCTCCGGGCAGAACCACGTCAGCCATGGTCGCACCATAATCTCCATGATGACCTGTAAATAAAATTATCGTAAAACTTAACTAGGAAACATTTTACGTTAATATTTACTTGTTAATTTGTCGTTAATTAAGTATAGCTTAACTTAAAATGCATTGCAAATTTTATTTATTTATTTATTTATTTGTATTGCCACAAGAAAACACAATAACTGAAAGGAAGTATACACAGGCACCCTTTGTGGTTTTTTCAATATATTTGTAACCTTTGGAGAAACCACAAAGAAATAAAACATATCACGAGTTAATAAAAAATTACCTTACAGAAAATTACCTTGATAAATGATAAAGGTGTCATCTGGGAATTCTTTTCTGTGAAAGGAGCCTTCATCAGCCCCTAATAGGTACAAAACTTTGACATTCTTCATTTCAGGCTTAAGACATTCAATACCTGGCTTGTAACCGATATCTAAAGCAGCTACCTGACTAGCTGTTTTATGCAAAACGTTAAACACTTTCCAATCGGTAACGTTCTTCTTTTTGTTGGCAATTGTTTGCAAGACGGTGATAATACCAGCTGCATCTCTTCTATTAAGTGTATCTGAACCCACGATAATTAGAGGTTTCATGGCACACATTAAAGTTTTATGAAACTGATGTGAGGCATCTAGAATGCATCTTAAGACACTTGGATCGTCTCCTAAGTACTCGTAAGTGTAGTTTAAGTCCAAACAAGGACCCAATACTGCAATCTGTAGATGAAAATGAGGATAGTTGAAATGGTACAGGACAGAAGAGTTATTCAGTCTACCTGAGCATCATTGTGTACGAATGCCTTCCTTATTCTGGTATTAATTAAGGGAGCTTCTAATCGAGGATTTGTTCCTACTAATAATATCACATCTGCTTCCTCAACCTTTGCTATTCCGTTGTTAAATAAATAATTTGTTCTTAAATCAGTTCCAGAACCCGTTAAGGGGAACGACTTTTCTGTAAAGAGTAACTCTGATCCCAACACGTTAACAAGATCCTTGAGAAGAACCATCGATTCTGCATCAGCCAAACTGCCAGCTATTCCACAGACTTTCGGTCCTAGAAAAACAAATTAATTAATTAAAACAATTACAATTATTGATAAATGCTTATTTTACCTGCATTTCCTAATTTGTCAGCCACTGCTAGGAGGGCAGCTTCCCAATCTACCATCTTTAATTCACCACTACAATCTCTAAGCATTGGTGATACTAATCGTTGGCATTTTAAGCCGTCGTAAGAAAATCTTGCCTTATCTGATAACCTAAATGACAAAGTTATTATGAATATAAAATGTTATTGTATTTAATTTATTATTAAACAAGAAGCGAATTTTTAAAAAATGAAAAATCCAACTTACCATTCTTCATTAACTTCTTCATTAGTTCGTGGCAATATTCGCATTACGTCACCAGTTCTGGCACAGACAACTATATTTGAACCTACAGCATCTGATACATCAATTGAATTTATTCTACGAGTCTCCCAGGGTCTTGCCGTGAATGCATAAGGCTTACTAGTTAATGCACCTACAGGGCAGAGGTCTATTACATTGCCAGAAACTTCTGACAAAAAAAATTTGTCTACATAAGTTCCTATTTGCATTTCGTTGCCTCTGCCAGTTGTACCTAACATAAAAAATAAAACATAGTTAATTAATAAATTGTACATGATTGACTTCTTACCTAAATCATCAATGCCTGCAACTTCAGAAGCAAATCGAATGCATCTGGTGCAATGAATACAACGAGTCATTACAGTTTTAATTAAAGGACCCAAATTTTTATCTTCTACTGCTCTTTTACCAGAAAATTCAATATCGGTGAAACGAGACTTGTCAGATCCAAAAACCATTGATTGATCTTGCAAATCACATTCTCCACCTTGATCACATATGGGACAATCTAAGGGATGGTTTACTAACAAAAACTCCATCACACCCTCTCTGGCTTTCCTTGTCATGTCTGAATTTGTTTTTATTCGCCATCCTAAAAAATTTATATGTTTACAAAAACTGTACTGTTTTAAATCATTAGTATCTTAAAATACCTTTCATAACAGGCATAGCACAAGATGCAACGGGTTTTGGAGACTTTTCTACTTCTACTAAACACATCCTACAATTTCCAGCCACTGCAAGTCGTTCATGGTAGCAAAACCGAGGAATTTCGATGCCTATCAAGGCCGCAGCTTGCAGAATTGTTGTTCCTGGTTCAACATACACTGGTTTGTCATCGATAAATACTTCTATTTTCTCTGGTTTGGGTACTGTAGTACTCGTTCCTCTTAACAAAGCTAATTGCTTTTGTCCCCACTGGTACCTACCAAGGGTTCTTCCTACCGTTGTTCTGAGCATTCTGCAAATTATTTGTTTATTACATAATGGTTTCTAACCTAAATGTCAAAATGTTACAAATACATATACTAAACGGATTTCTTCCTAAAAATTACGCTTAAAAACTGCTATACAATTTATAAAACTAAGTACTACTGTAAAAAGGAACCAGTACCTCTGTATAATTAATAAAAATGTCAAATTGACAAAAAAATAATTGCCATTATTGAAAATATAGTAAATACAAAAATAAAATTAACAATTCCAGCTGATCTTAAGATATGTCNAACGCTATTAAAGGAATTATCAAATTTAAGGCCGTAAATACTTATACATACGTATCCGAAGTTTTATTGTACTCATTACAACCAACAAACTTATTATTCAGAGCTTGAGATCTTTTTTGGCTGTTAATGTTTATTGATTTAAAAAAAAATAACCTTTAACCTATTCGTTTGAGATTACCACCCGTCTATAAAATTGTAAATTTTAATGTTCCCGAGACTTGTATCTTTAGTTACTATTTTTCTATGGTTACTATTCTTACATAACACGTCATTGAACAACTGTCAGTTTGACAACCTTTTGCATTTCCGGCTCTTTCCGGCGAAAACGTCCGTTAACCTAGTAGCTTTATATTATATATTTTAAATATTAATTTTATAATGGCCGTTGGTGATTTAAAAACTGAAGCAGGTATTACCCAATTGAACAGTTATTTAGAAGATAAGAGCTATTTAAGTGGGTAAGGAATACGTTAAAAATGTATATATAGCACATGTTCTTATAATTTTAAATTTAGATACCAGCCCACCCAAGTAGATATACAAACTTTGAACAGCATTGGAAAGGCCCCAGGTGCAAATTTTCCTCATGCACTGAGATGGTACACTCATATTAAGTCCTTCACACAGGCAGAACAAAAAAATTTTCCTTCCGGAACACCAATATCCTTGGGAAGTGCTGCTCCTGCATCACCTTTGAAAACTGCTGCACCAACAACAAAACCACAGTCAGAAAAAGAGGAAGATGATGATGTCGACTTATTTGGATCGGATGAAGAAGATGAAGAGGCTGCAAAGGTCAGGGAAGAACGTTTGAAAGCATATGCTGATAAAAAGTCAAAGAAACCTGCCCTTATTGCTAAATCCAGCATAGTTTTGGACGTAAAACCTTGGGACGACGAAACTGATATGAAAGAAATGGAGAAAAATGTTAGAAGTATTGAAATGGACGGTCTTGTTTGGGGAGCTTCCAAATTGGTACCTGTTGGATATGGAATAAATAAACTACAGATTATGTGTGTTGTTGAAGATGATAAAGTTTCTGTTGACCTTTTAACTGAGAAAATTCAGGAATTTGAAGATTTTGTCCAATCTGTTGATATTGCTGCTTTTAATAAGATTTAAAATGTTTCCAATATGAAATAAATATTTTTAAACGCACTGTCTACCTTTTTATTGTGACTATTATATAAATAATTTCTGCTCGAGGTATCAATAGCATTAATAAAATTGAAGTGAAAGGTCATATAAAGTCCTTGCGTGAATGAAATGTTCCTAATACGGTTCTGTCTATAAAGCGCGCAAAAGCGAATCAATATTGCTGTAGAAAATGTCAAAAGTGCTTTTTATTAGTGTGGAGTTCTAGTGTTTTTCTTTCCATTTTATTTAGTCTTTCAAGGTAAGGTACAAAATATGACTAAAAAATTATGCTTATTTAAAAATCCTACGTACTTGCTTTCGATTGTCTTAATTTTTACGAACTTGACAGCAATCAGTTGTAAAAACGTATAAGTACAATTACATATTAAACAGGAAGTGACTCATACGACAGGACCGTATTCCAAAATTTCATTTTACATTTCAATTCTAAAAAAGAAAGTTTTGGAGTTGTGTATATGTAGATGAACACGTATAAAAATGGATTAAATCTTTTTTGAATTAGGCACTGTTTTCGAAAGTAATTATTAGGGTTATTATTGTTATCTTCTTAAAAATGAGATTCTTACGATTGAAACACGATTTAGAAATATTGTTTTATGTAAACAAATGAAACTGAAAAAAGAAAAATATTTGGTTTCTGTGTTACCGAATTATTTGCTGTTATTCCTGGAAAAAGGTGAGCTTTTCGCAAAATCTAAAAATGTTTTGAACAATGAATTTAAGAAGTTCTTGGTTAATACGGTTCTGTACGGATAGGTCATGCACACATCGATCCTTAAGGACAGAAGCTATCCCACAAACTAGCTGGCGCCAACTTATGACTCATTCTTAGCCCTCGTTATCAGATTATTACATTTTTAGTTACACGAATAGGTTTTTTTGCGACGTTTGTTAAACTCACCGATCAATTAAATTAATGTTTCAGTATAAAAAAAAGTGATCCTATTCTTAATACTTAATTAAATTATCATAATTCAAAAAAAAGAAAACAAAAACGTTGGTTTCAAAAATGGTATCCGCACAAGTCGTTTTATTATCCGTATACCAGGAGTGTCAAATAAGTTTTCGGTCAAAATTAATGTTATTATATACTAATGATACAATAATATCAAACAAAAAAAGTTATTTGTATTGATTGTTTTTCCAGTAATTCCTATTGGTTTTCGCGCTATTGATTTCAACCTCCGCTTTTTGCGCACGCGTACAAAATCGTTTTGATTGCTGTATGTCACAGAGTTGAACGTGTCTGCGGCAGATTTTGGGCAAAATGTTAAATAGTGAAGTAATGTGGGTTGCGGCTGAACTAATTAGACATTTCTAGTTTAAATAGCCAACTTTAAATCAGTTTCATTAATAATAGTGAAAAACAATTTGTTTTGGGTAAGTGGTCACCATTACTAATGTTTTCCTTCAATTATTTAATAGGGTGTTGCGCTGATGTCTGTGCGAAGTAACGTAAAATTTGTAAGTAATAGTCTCATCGAAGTTACTACGCCTTAATACGATTGCCTTTTGTTTAAAAAATGCTTTTGCTTAATCTTTATACTCAATTCCAGTGAAAAAACTTTAAAAAAGTGCGATTTTTCGAGCTCAATATTGATGCGTTGCCCGTTGCGCGATCAATATACCCATTGTTATTATTCCTTAACTTTATTTTTTTAGAATTTCTACATCCTTTTTATTACGAAATTAGAAACGATTTCTCTTAATAATTAATTTTTCAGTAAAAAAGAAATCATTTCTGTGATACGTGCATCATCGTCATTAATGCGAATATACATTTCTTATCTTCGTTTTAGAAAAAATAGAAGCAACCTTGAACTTTACAAAATTTTATCTAATTAATTATTTTAGTTGTTTTTGACAACTCTGTAACAGTTAGTAGAATATACTGAAAATAAATATTTTAAACAATTACTCAGTAAATGAACGAAAACATATTATTTCTCAATTTAGTAAAATGCTTTTTATCAAAAAAAAATTGTAAAAAAATTTCTTTCTGACATAGGTAAGTAACCCAGTTAGTTTATTTAAAATCAATATCTTCAGCGTGTTTTTCTTTAGCGTTAGTCATAAAAACTGTCTGGAAGGCCAGGACGTTCATCTCCTCCTCCTTATCTTTCATATGGTACCTATTTTCTGAACTAAGGGTTGTAAAAGAAAGAAAAATCTGACTGTCATTATTAACAGTATAAAGGCTGGAAGATAGATAGTTTTTAAAATTAATTTTTATTTATTGCAATTTTTAACAAACAAAAGGTATTTTCCCGTAATATTGAATTATGTTGGAGTTAAAAGTACACCCTGTACAACTAGCAACAAATAGTATTAAATTTTCAAGTAATAAACAAAAATATGCAAGTTGTTTTTCCAAATGATGAATCCAAATTTTGGTTAAAATTTTCAGCTAAAAAAAGGTTAAAAGTTAAAGTATTTGCTGTTAGTGTTACATGCTTTTCTACTTTTAAAAAACTACACTTATAAATGCGTTATAATAATAATAATAAAAATCAACGTAATTATTGACGTTTTTGGAAAAAGGCCATATTTACAATACAAAAATAAATCAACTATGACATTTTTATAATGTATTAAATCAAAAATGTACCTAGTCGTTTTAGTTGGTACAGAATGTTAGAGTATGGGTATTTTTTGTGAAAGGATACGTTTTTCCTGTATCAGGAATATTTCTGAAAATACGACACTTAAAATTTCGAAAAGAGAAATATATTTTTGAGTTACTTATTATTTGCCCTTTTAAACGGTACTACATACAATATTTTTTAGAGGCACTTATATAAATAAAACACTAACATCAACCCTAAATTCGTTCCATATTGGAAACCTAAAACGTTCTTTGACATTTGAGGTTTTATATAAAAGTTGTGGGTTTTAGGGTTTATTTACAATTAGATTAGTTACACAAAATTGGATGTGATTTTCTTATATTCTTTACTAATAAAATATGTATAGGTAAGAGTCACATTTCTGCGTTTAATAAATAATGTTAATAAAAAAAAACGGCTGTATCAGACAGGCATGTATGTGATCACCTGAGAAAGCTTTAGAGAAAATTTGAGGTTTTATCTTTACATTTTTAAAGAGTTTATCGATAAATGTATTTCTCTAATTTTCAATTTAAAAATTCAACGTAAACTGTAGTTATTCCTTCTAGTAGATTTTTTCAGTTTTAGTTATAGACATTGCAAGTTTTTCAGTTTTCAAAATAAATTAGACTCTTCGTGATTGTAGCTGAGCAAATTTCGAAGTTTACCAAACGTAATTCTAAGCATCGAATCAATCAATCGATTTTGTGCTCATTTTATATTTAATTAACGTGTTACTAACAAGCCGAGCCTGATTAGCTCTTTCGAAGCCCACGTTCGATTATCTCAATGTGGCAGTTTTTTTTTTATGAAACAAACCCAAACTTACAATTAACGCTGCTTCACGCAAAAGTATGCTTTTATCTTTTTCTCTAGTTAAATTCTATTTATTGAAACTTTAATTATTTTATTAATGTGAAAACTGAATTTAAACGCTAGGTATATATCTAATATTGTCCAAACCGAATCTCCACATTGTGGAAAAAGTCCCCCCCTTAGAATTGTTTTTGAATCTGCGTTTAAGATATGGGGTTTTTAGGGGACGCCAAAAAAATGTGGATATAGTAGATTAGAATTGAGGAGGTGTTAGAAAGAGTAAGATAACAGAGGGCCTGTGCAAGTCAAAAGGGGAGATAAGTTGCTAGGACACCTTCTCAAACGTGATGGTCAAGTTAGAGACATATTATAAGCAGAAACAGGTGTTAAAGGGAGCAGAGAAATATTTAGGTTAAATTGCTATTAGCAAATAGTAAGTTCAAGACAATTTTCGGGTTGAAAACCCTATAACGATGATCTATTAGAACAGAAAATACTTTTTAAAAATAATAATATTCTGTTTTAAAACAATAAAGGCCTTAAAGTCTGCAAAAAGATAGGCCAAAATTCAATATCATATGAAATACTTTAAGAAAGTAGAGGTTAATATTCAATATTAATGTAAAAAATCAGTTAAATTTTATTCACTACAAATTAATGAGTGACACCCCCGCCGGGAATCGAACCCGGGACCTTGTCCTTTACGCACCAATACGGCAACAACTTTTCCTCATTAATTTTAGGTAATTTGTAGTGGATAAAAACTAAATGAATTTCACCATTAGAAGTTTCTTAAACTATTTTATATGATATTAATTCGACGAATCGGTGACCTAATAAGTACGTTTCGTCGCTATTATTGTTATCACCTCTTGTAGCTCGGTGATCAGAGCATTAGTATGTTGAGCCAACAAAGGTCCCGGGTTCGATTCCCGGCGAGGATGTCTCAGCGGCAACAATTTTTCCGTATTAATTTGAGGTAATTTGTAGTGGTTAAAAATTAAATGAAATTTTATAGATATTAATATTAAAATTCAATTTTAATCAACTTCCTTTTGGTAAAAACCGAGTCGATATAACCGGTTAACAGTCTCGTATATAGTGGAACTCATTTCGAAAATTAATGGTGTGTAAACTTCTTGAAAGCGCTTAATAGTTATACAGGAACCAGTTCATAAGGTTATAAAATACAGTAATCAAACAATAACATTAAGCAGTTGTAAAATCGGTTTTGAATGAATTATATTGCTCGATAGCAATTCCAATATTTTCAATGGGTTAAACTTTTTTATTTTCGGATGTCATTCACAATGCGTTAAAAGTGAAGAAAACTTCGATTAGTAATATTGCTTTTTGTTTTTTTTTTACAGATTCATGAAACTTCAACAAGTTCAGTGAAGATTTAATAGCAATGTCTTCGGTCAAGGTCGCGGTACGCGTCAGACCCTTCAACAGTAGAGAAATTTTACGAGAATGTAAATGCATTATCGAAATGGGGGGTAACACCACCAGTAAGTCGAAACATTTATTCGCCCCTCGTTTCATTTTTTATCTTGCAAATATTTTTTTTCAGCAATCTACAATCCTAAAGCTCCACCAGGTACCAAGGAAGCACTGAAAAGTTTTAATTTCGACTATTCGTACTGGTCTCATAATGTAAGTAAAAAGGAATCCCCTATTTGTAGAAAAGGGTGCTTGAGGTAGCTTTATTGAGGGTTTTGTTAAGGAATACAGGATGTATCAAGGTCAAGATTTTCTAATTTTTGAGAAGCTTTTTACGTACACAAGAAACTTGCTTTCGGTTTTACACATTTAGCAACAGACCAAGAGTACTATCGATCGATGAAAGGTTAAAATTCAATGTGTCAGACCAAGATCAGGATCAGGTTCGAAACGTCGTGGTCTTGGTAATGACATTAGGGATATAACTTTAACTTTTTGCTTTATTATGCGTCGTTTCGAAGGCCACAGAAGGGCAGGTAAACATATTTTTTGTATTAGTTTCTGCTAATTTAATTTATTTTCTGAAGTTGGAAGTGGTTTAGGAGAGCAAAAAGATAAACAAAAAAATAATTGTCTTTTGGGGATGAATCAATGTCTGGCATATCAACCTACATGTACAAAAAATATGGGACCTATGATTTTTTTCAGCTGGAATTTTATTGTTTTTCTCGCTTCTATTTTAATAGTTTGATTATAAATGTTATTTTNCTGCTAATTTAATTTATTTTCTGAAGTTGGAAGTGGTTTAGGAGAGCAAAAAGATAAACAAAAAAATAATTGTCTTTTGGGGATGAATCAATGTCAGGGATATCAACCTACAACTACAAAAAATATGGGACCTATGATTTTTTTCAGCTGGAATTTTATTGTTTTTCTCGCTTCTATTTTAATAGTTTGATTATAAATGTTATTTTGGATTATTGTTAAAAAATTTTTTTGTTGGTTTATCTAATGCTTTTTCATGTACACATTTTTGTTTCTATGTATTATTATTTTGTAATTAAAAAAGAACATTATTTTGTGGCATGTAATACAGACCGTTATTTTTTTAATTTAATTGTAAAAATAAAATAAAACAAATATTTCACTAATGTTTTTCTTAATTTCATTATTCAGAAAAACATTTGTGAAAGGCAAGAGTTTTATTTTAACAATTGCTCTTTTTAATCCTTTTGTTTCTTGCGAAAAACTAATACAAATCCTGAGTAATTAAATTACTTGTGGAGGTGCATAATACGAAGGAACGTTCATTAATTAAAGGGATGGTTTTCATTTGAAAACAACACAAAAGAAATAACTGACGTAAACGGGAGTGTGAATATCGTACTGTGAAAGAATAGGGAAGATATTATTAGAGTTAGAAATAATTAAAATTTCATTCCAAATGTTTGATTTTTCGCAATTCTTTTTTTAAAAGAAAAATGACAACTTACACTTCAAAAGAAATAATAATTACAACGTTCATGTACAAGGTCTGTTCGAAAAGTAACGCGAATTTTGTGTTATTTAAAAATTTTGAAATTCAAAATACGCGATACTTTTCGAACAGACCTTGTACACCGGGGGCGAGTTGAGAACGTAGAGATATTCTATTACATGTAATAACGAAAGGGGGTGAAACGAGACTTGTCAGATCCAAAAACCATTGATTGATCTTGCAAATCACATTTTGAAAAAGGCACTTTCACGCTTTCTTTATGACCATAAAAACAGTCACTTTTTGGAGCCAATGAGAACAGACACAATTTAATTGTATCTGGAGTTCTTCTAACGTCCCTGTAAAATCAAATATTATGAAAAAGTATTCAAATATAATAAATTTAGCCTCCCTACTAAGTAGAGTGCATAAAGAAGTTTTTAAAGTAACGCCGAACACTTTTCTCATTTAATATCATATATACACTACATATATATAATATAGCATGTATGCTCACCTTAATTAACTGCAAGAGCCTCCAAGATGAAAAGTTAACAGCTAAAACACCATACGATACGACTTATCTTTTAAGTAAGCAAAGGATGGATATCAGTTCCAATCTCTCAATTGCTGGCTAATCTGTAGAAACGGACAAAAACAATTATTAACTACTTTTAATTAATAATATTTCAAAGGTGGCTGATAAAATAATAGATATACAATCTACTATTCATAATACGCTAAATAGACATCTGTTACGCAGAAAATTAAAATATTTAATCATTTTCACTTTGCTTCCTTTCTCTCAAATTAAAGTCAAAATATGTGCGGGAAATAGATAAAAGAATTATACACTCCTACTAAATAAAGGAAACACGAAATAAAACAAAACCGCGTAATGAAAAACCAGTCAAAAATTAATATAATATATGAATCGATCAAACTAACCTTTCAGGCGTAAAAAACAATAAAACCAATTCTACGACAAAATTAGCTCGGCAAGTTGAATTTAAGAGACGGGAAAACACGTCCTACCGCCTCCAAGCGCTACGAACTTATAATACACTGTAATACACCGAACGTGTCTCAAGCTTGTCGCAAAATTGCGAAAGCTACTGCACGAAGCACTGATGACGTAACAAAATACTACTCAGAAGCATCATATTCGATTTCTGCGACGGTTCGCGGCAAATGTTTCGTAATTTAACCAATCGCGTGGCTAGTTTCCTCCTCGTTTTATAAAATTCAAAATCATTTCAAAATTATGTAGGTTTTGCCTCGTGCAAGTTCCATCGCCTGATCACAACTCTAATCTTAAAAAAATACGAGAGCGATAATGACGATGGAAGGTTAAAAAAGAGAGCATTAGAAAAGAAGAAAGAGAAGATAATCTAATGAGTTGTTTCTTTTTCTGGTTTGAATTATGTTTCAGAANGTAATATACAAGTCTATTAAATGCAATTTAAAGCTTTTGAGGGGTTTTAAGCTTTGTTCAAAAGACTTTCAGAGTTTGTTCTGAAAAGTTTTCACAAAAGTAGGTGATATTTTTAGATAGACGTTGTTGAAAAAATACGTATCATTGAACCTTTTGCTTTACCTGTATTACGAACAATGTTAAAAAAAGCAATTAATTCAGTGGCAACTAGTATCTTCAAAAATCAAAATCGAATATCTCTAATCGAATAGAAACAATAACTAACGTACACGTACAAAGAGCATGCAGGTGCAGTAGACTGGGTGATGCGCCGCGATTGCTTCCCATTCGAGGATAGTTGGGGACCGTTAGAACTGCACATTTGCCGCTGACGTTACCGTTGGCATGGCAACCTACTCGCGTTGGCAGAGCGAGAGGCGACTACGCGCTTAACTCTTCACTTGAGCATTTATTGCGTACATTAAGGGCAATTTAAAACATTAGAAAGCACTCTAAGTAGGTACAATATGCGAGTGACAATAATCTCGATATATACAGAAAATAAGTGAAGAGAATCTTTAGCTGCTTCACCTCAACAGCCACCACTGAATTAGTTTTCAAAATAAGTCTTCCTAACCCAAAGAAAAATAATTGGAAACATAGCTGTAGTTTCTATTAAAATCTATTAAACAAGGGAAACATTTTAGGTAATAAAAAACTGAGGTGGATGATGTTGTTCATTCAAGTTTTGGAAAATATAGAAATGTTGAGGTACTTTGAAGTTGAATAACCTTTTTAAAGGGTTTCATAACAATAAACAGCCCAATCATTTATTAAAAAACTTCAAAACTGTGGGCCCTTTGTGTAAAAGAACAAAACAATTAAATACTATTAAAAAATATTCTAAAATTAATTTTGTTTTCTTAAATCGCCGCCTGAAGTATCTTTTAAAAAAATAAGAAAGGCTATTTTAAGCAAGTAAAATTTACTTTCAAATAGTTTTGTGCTGTTATGGCATCAGTTCATTAACTTTCCTGAGAAGCAGCTAAGGATTCGTTACAGTTATTTACATGATTATTAAAAAATCTCTTCAAATATCAAAAGACCATCACTTAGAAGCTCTATTCCGTAGGACTAGGTTATTTTATACGTACAGCACTTTGTACCCTTTACTCTGGTTATTAACATTGAATGTTAAACATTAAATTGAAATTAACTTTCTATTGTCTACATATTAATACAAATTAATGGGGGAAAATTGTTGTTTCTGTCACATCATCGACAGGAACTAAACCCGGGCACCCTGGTATCGTCAAAGCCAACTCTACATAATTACCTATATTTATATATATATATACGAAAATGTTCGTGAAGAGGGTAATATTTTAATATTAAATATTAAACTGAAATTAATTTTCTATCCTCTACATATTACTCTATTAATCTTTCGTAGTTTAGGGGAGACCGGGGATAGTTGACTATAGGGGTAGGTAGACTAACTACCGAAAACTCTTCGACAGTGTATGAACTATGTCATCTGATCATAACCAAGCATTACATTTCGCGTCCCGCTCAGTTGTCTGAAGTGTCACATCGCGGTCGTGCGTTGTTTTCGAACACTGACATGTTTTTCATATTTCAATAATAATTTGATATATTGTATTTTTTGATCTGATGCCTACTCGTTTTATGTAAATCATTTTTCTATTAGTCCTAGCGTTTAATGAGGGCACATTTATCATATTTCATATCTTATTTTTCAAGTCAACGGCAGTGTTTAGGCTAGCCATNCCAACCAAAAACTACTGCGTAGAATTAATTGGAATTTTTCACACACAAGCCTTGCTATATGAGCTCTCAAAGCATATAAAAATTATACGGCTTAAATGTGAAGTTGGGTGCAAAAGAATACAATTAAATCCTCTGTTGGGAAAAAACGAAACGACTTTTCGAACAACCCTATACAAAAATGTAGACAAATCAGGTCAATGGTTTAGCCACAACAGTGGGAGGTTTAGGGGTTCAAACTCCCCCCTCCTTCATGATTAGTATTAAAAAAAAATGCCAAATGGTTTGATCACATTCCGTATTTACATGCTTGACTGAGCTAAAAAATGTTAATTATTGTAAAGGGACACAAAGTTATTGGCTATGTATTAAACAATTGCTGAGTTAATATTAAACGAATTAACAACTTCGAGAAAGAGGCAAATAATAAAATATAGAAATTATTTTTTCGGTTTCCAGTTTATGAGCAGAACGAAATTTGCTTACGTACTAATATATTAGTTATCTAAATTTATGTTGGTGTAATAATTGGGTTAACTGGTAAATAGTGAGTATATTAAAAATTGCAAAATTATTGTGTAATTTTGTTAATTTAATTGACATTACGAAATTTAGGAAATATCATAATCATATTCATGCCTCAATTAATTATAAATATTTAATTTCCTTTTTGCTTTCCGTTTTGTAGTTTAATATTAAGGGTTTTTGAAGGCAATTATTTTAAATTTATTTATACCAATTACGTAGTTCAAAGTATCTCTCACAAATTATAATCCTTAACGTCAATGCCGATACCTGAAACTCACGATGACTTAGATATATATTGATAATTGTGGTTATTAATTTCTTTAAATCATTTTCACAGCAAAAGTATTTTCCTTGTTACATTCTGTATGCCTATGGAAGAAAGAAAGTAAATCGCTTCATTTCTCAACTATTAACGAACTTGCGCTAATGAGGTAGTTTAATGAGTAGAATTCTTGGAAGGAAGAGTGAACCAGAACATGAGCTGTAATGAGTGCAGGAAGAAAATAAAAATTATTTAATAAGAGACCCATTTTTTCGTTTTCTATATAATTTTTCGTTCGTGTAGGAGGACGACCCTCAGTTCTCCTCCCAGCTTATCGTATACAGGGACATAGGAGAAGAAATGCTCCAGCATGCATTCGATGGTTATAATGTATGCATTTTCGCGTACGGACAGACTGGCGCGGGAAAATCATACACGATGATGGGTAAACAGGAGGAGGGTCAAGAGGGCATAATTCCCCAGATTTGCCAGGACCTCTTCAACAAGATTCGCCACGACGGTGGCGACGACGTCAAATATTCCGTCGAGGTCAGCTACATGGAGATATATTGCGAACGGGTCAGAGACCTTCTCAACCCCAAAAATAAGGGCAACCTGAGGGTTCGCGAACATCCTTTACTCGGTCCTTATGTCGAGGACTTGAGCAAATTGGCTGTTACTAGTTTTCAGGATATTCATGATTTGATAGACGAAGGGAACAAGGCGAGAACTGTAGCGGCCACTAATATGAACGAAACCAGTTCCAGGTCGCATGCAGTATTCACCATTTTCTTTACACAACAAAGGTGAGCGAGAATCTTATCGATCTTGTATGATAAGTAGGAATTTATGGAGTTTTTGGTTTCTATTACTATGTACTAATACTAGTAGTACTATCATTCCGAGAAAATATTTAAAAAAGTTTATAAATGATGTTGTTCATTCAAGTTTTGGAAAATATAGAAATGTTGAGGTACTTTGAAGTTGAATAACCTTTTTAAAGGGTTTCATAACAATAAACAGCCCAATCATTTATTAAAAAACTTCAAAACTGTGGGCCCTTTGTGTAAAAGAACAAAACAATTAAATACTATTAAAAAANTAAATATTTAATTTCCTTTTTGCTTTCCGTTTTGTAGTTTAATATTAAGGGTTTTTGAAGGCAATTATTTTAAATTTATTTATACCAATTACGTAGTTCAAAGTATCTCTCACAAATTATAATCCTTAACGTCAATGCCGATACCTGAAACTCACGATGACTTATGTGTCTAATATATCCTTTAACCCTTCCAGTAAAGCAGTAAAATATGATAATACTCTGGAGACTATTTTTATTAGAAGGAATAAAACTGGAAACTCAAAATCAAAATACTTTCTTTAAGTCTATTTTTAACAAATTATCATTAAATATACTGCATTTATTTTATCATATGTTATCAAAACAATTAATGCCTAAGATTTTAAGTTTAAATAGGATATTGTTGTCATGAAACTTATTACAGATATGATAGCACAACTAATCTATCGACAGAAAAGGTTTCAAAAATATCGTTAGTTGATTTAGCAGGAAGTGAAAGGGCGGATTCTACTGGGGCTAAAGGGACTCGGTTAAAGGAAGGCGCAAACATTAATAAAAGTCTTACCACCTTAGGAAAAGTCATATCTGCATTAGCAGAAATTGTGAGTAAAACTTCCGATATTAAAACCTACCGCTTTACCATAAAAGCAATAAAATAATAATATCTACTAATTCATGCTTTTCGTTTTTATTAATTAACTCTTATTAATTTGTGTTCTTTATGTCATTCTTGCCTTCGGAACAACAGTCGGTAAGTATATAAATAAAAAAGACGGCATTTTAAACAATTTAGTTGATACACCCGAGCCAGTTTAGGAAGGCGAAGAATGCCATTAATTATTTCACTAATAGAGATACAGTAAAAGTTCCTTATTCACGGTTTCCTTATTCGCGTTTTCATTATTCACGGGTGAAAAAATTGCAACCAAGTTCCTGTATTCGCGGCTAAAATTTCATTATTCGCGCATGCAATCGGTAAACAGAAAAAGATTAGGTGTCATTAATTAAGGGAATTGATCGCAATAGACCGCTCGTGCCTAGTGTGAATTTTTCTGAAAACAAGGATTTCTATTCTAAACATTTTGATTTAACGCTGCGAGATAAATATGTGATTTTTTGTATAGTATCAGACAAAGGTTCACACTAACTCGGTACGTGTTTTTGGTTTCAATAATATGGTCATTAAAAGCTTTTACAAGTGCTTAAAGTTGATGCTTCTTGTAGGACACGTATTTTCAATAGAAATTAACAAATTAAAAAATGGCCTTCGATAAGCCTTAGAACAAAGCTTTATCTATATTACTACAAAATTTCAAACCTCTGTTCCAAACATTAAACTCATGATATCTAGAACCGATAAGCATGTTTTTATTTTACGGCGCGTGTACTACTGAATCCCCTTAATGTATCGAGTATGTACGGTTAGTATAAAAAGCTTTTATAAAAAATGTAACCGAGTAGAAAAGGATTTATTTTTCAACGTATCAGCATCTTTTGAGTACTTTTGGCTCGTGTCGAGGCGACTTTTATAAAAGATACAACCGAGTGGACCAATTCAAAATTCAAAACAAGAAAAAATGACTAAATTCTTTAAACCCTTGTCTAAAAGTGATTATAACTATCAATTTTAATTGCGAATTTCTCAATAAATTGATTATATTCTACTACATATTGGTTTTATTTTGGAACCTTAGTACGTATCCCTTATGACTCCATACTAATTACCATTCCATATCCAGGGTTTTTGTATTCGCGGCATATTTATGGAACGTATACCCCGCGAATAAAGAGCTTTTACTGTATTTTACAACCGCATGTATCCAACATATTTTACAATATACATAGAAAGATTACGTAAAATAACTCTTCTCTAGTTCAATAATTTATTGTTGACTTCGCCTTCCGAAACTGACCCGAACGTTAAATTCTACCTACTGTTAAATTCTACCGCTGCGTTTTTGTAGGCGTCAAAGTCGAAAAAATCTAAGAAAGCAGATTTTATACCGTATAGAGATTCGGTTTTGACATGGCTCCTCCGGGAAAACTTGGGGGGTAATAGTAAAACTGCCATGATAGCAGCAATCTCGCCCGCTGACATAAATTATGACGAAACGTTGTCCACCTTAAGGTACATAATAAAATCAGTTAAACACATTGCTCTTATAATACGGACAACATTCGTTGTAGATATGCGGACAGGGCCAAACAGATTGTATGCAAGGCTGTTATCAATGAGGACGCTAATGCTAAATTAATTAGGGAGCTCAAAGAAGAGATCGCCAAGCTGCGTGAACTTCTTAAGAACGAGGGCATCGACGTTCATGAAGGTGAGAATATACATACATATATAATTTAAACAATAAGGGTATGCGGTGCATATATATGTATGTATGTATACAGAGATGTGCAAAGAGGTTTGTAAAAAGTGTTTAAACACTAAATGCAAACACTCTTTTAGATGAAAATTAAAAAATAGTTTTCCTTTTGTATTTTAAATGCTAAATGCAAAATACGTACTATAAAAATACTGTTACTGTTAGGTATTTGTTTAATTCTTAATTGGTATAATCTTTTAAATCATCATCATTATAAGGTCGTCAGTCCTAAGATTGGACATGCACCTCTCTCTTTCTTATCCTGAGCTAATCTTCGCATTTCCCTAAAACTAGAACAGTAATCTAATCTAGGTCTACTTTTACTTCCCTTTGCTTCTAATATGTCCCTGACTAACCCCTCATGCCTAAAGAGGTGTCCTACTAACCTATCTCGCTTATTTCTTATTGACTTCCATAAAGTCCTTTATTCTCCTATTATTTTTAACTTTCTCTATCCGCGGTATCCTCAACATTCGCGGGTAACGCCACATTTCAAACGCTTCTAACTTTTTTTTCCGCAGGGCCTACCGTCCATGTTTCGCACCCGTATAACACCGCGCTCCAGACGTACACCTTTAACAATCTTTTTAGAATCTCTAAATTAACCGTTCGCGAGCACAAAAGTGCCTTTATTTTGTTGTAATAATAATAATAATAATTCAGGATAGAAAGATTAGTAGAGAAATAAAACAAAGGATACAACAAACAATACTATTCTGCAGTGGTCCATGGATTTTCGCAGTTGAAAACGTTTTGTCATTCCTTATATTACTGGCACCTAGAATGGTGATTTGGTAGGTGCTGTAGGTCGATACCGATGGGCTGATGTCAATCACGACGTGTGGAATTGCGAAATTCCGTGGATCACGACAAGACAATCCGTAAAACTATATCGAATCCAAAATATTTTGGATTATTCATTTCCAAAGAGTTTTGATTTCTTTGCGGTCTTTTTAAGCTTCTATAGTCGAGACGATCAAAATTGGCAAAACCCGCAATAAATTATCTTTGAGAATGGATGTATCTTCTTTCTTTTATCCACTTGGGACAGCAGTCATTTACTGCCCTTGTTAAGTTAGGAAATGCTTCATGAGGAGTGCAGACAAAGTGAAAAGAGATAACCGAATAATAGTAAGAGATGCAGCGGTTAGAGGTTGCTTAGGTACGCAAAAGAATAGGGTTGTAACTGCCTGGTTGAAATTATTTCTTTAAAGAAGCGTTTTGCATTCCTAAATTCCTGAGCATGTTGAAATTTCTTTAAAGACCGATGCTGACAACATGTTCAAATTTTGCTTGAATGCATCAATTTTTGTTACACATCAATTGGTGTAATGTTATTCCTTTTTCTTCATTACTGACCGCTGCAATTCATACCTGGCATCTCTTTTCTGTGTTTAAGATATTCCCTACAACGTCTGTCGTGAGTAGAAATAGGCGTTCTGTTAGCAACCGCTCTAGTCTAGTTAGTAAGTTGAAAGGATAAAGTAAATGAGACAGTTTTGTTGCGGAAATTTTGAAAGTCCCCACTATAATACATTCGATGATCGTTATATGTATTTGACAAATAGAAAATTTTAAACAAAATAGAAAGTATTTTTCTCAAAAAAGTATTTAAATGCAAAATAGAAATGAGTATTTTATATTTGTATTTTAAATAAATCACATCTCTACTTACATAGGTATCTATATATGCACACATATGTTATTTTGCCTCGTTACTTGTATATTTTGTATATTTACGATTAGACGTTTGTAGTATTGTTTATTGTTATGCCTGTGTTAGAATAGCGATTTATCTTTATCTAAAATTTAGTTTACACATTCGGGGCATTTCCCTTTTGGCAATAACAATTTATAATGCGCTAATTAAATTATTCTTATGCGTTGTTCAAATTGGTAGTTTTGAAAATTTTTGTTTGAATAATTTGAAATTTTTATAATATGAAAAAAAAACTCAAAATAATACAATTTAATACTTACATTATGGGATTCCCCCAGGTGGAAACTCGTAATCATTACCTGTAAAAAAATAGATTAATACAATTTTTGCGTTCGATTTAAGTGCGACAAACACATGGTACACAATTGTTTATATTTTGAATGAGGATGAAATAAGGTGGTTAATTTCATGTTTATTACTTGTATTGCCGCTCTAGGCCCTGATGGTAAAGTAATTTATGAAAAGAAAGAAATTCCCAGTAAGTACCCCCCGCTTATTGACTGCTGCATCGTATTTTTATGATCTCCATGTATATATATCTAATCCGCGCAAATTGTAAATGTTTTTTAAATGCCTTGCATCTACGTTATGATAAAATAAGCGATTTTAGTCGAATTATTTTTTTCTTAGTTTTTGTTTTACATTTTCATATTGCACAAAGGAATATTACCTTAAAGAAAAAAAAACCAAATAATATTTCAGAATTATACACGAAAATTTACTATCGAAAAAATTGTTTTAAATATTCAATTCATCATGATAAGGTCGTCAGTCCTAAGACTGGTTGGATACGCACCTCCACTCCTTCCTATCATGAGCCAATCTTCGCATTTCCCTAAAACTAGAACATCCCACATCCTTAACTATTTACGAACTGTAATCAAATAAAGGTCACCTATACCCCTCCTAATTCCCCTGCCTCTAATTGGGAGAAGGTGTCCTACCAACCTATCTCGCCTATTTCTTATTGACCATAGAGTCCTCTGTTTTCCTATTCTTTCTAATACCTCTTCGTTTCTAACTTTCTCTATCCGCGGTAACCTCATCATTCGTCAGTAACACCACATTTCGAACGCTTCTAACCGAAGTACTTGAATTTAAATTTTTGTGGGGTGTTAGACACAACAATATCAATTTAATAATGTCAATTATAACAGAAAATAACACTTCCAATATCGAAGTCATAAATTTCTCTTTTTTCTTTTTATTGCTTTTTTTTATTGCGCTTCTGGTTTCTGCTTAATTTGAAAACAATTGCAATTGTATTAACGCCGATGCTTTATCCACACAAAACAAATCAAAAGTTTTTGTTAGCATAAATATTTTACATTGACATTATCACATGGTGTTTGGATAGATAATGGAGGAAGAATACACCACTAGATTTTTAATGGAATTCTAAGTAATATACATTTTTTTTTCTATACGAGGAGCAGTAAACAAATAATAATTAACAATTAGTTTTCTTTGTTATACTTCTAGATTTTTTTTAACTGATAACTGCTTAATAAGTACTATCTAGACCAAAAAATTAAAAATGAAAAGGATTCTTAGGATTGCACAAAGAATAAGGCGGTGTATTTTTGTAAAATTATCTCGGGCCAGCCTGTATTGGCACAATCATCAAGCTTTTAATAAGCAAAGCTTTAATTCCCAACGTAGTTGTTTAGTGTCTATTGATACCACAATTTGCAGGAATCCAAGAAATCAATAAGAACATTGACAGTAAACCGACTTCTGAAGGGCGTTCAAGAAACGCCTCGACGTCAATTGCTGAAGAAGCTGTAGATCAGCTACAAGCTAGCGAGAAGCTTATCGCAGGTACGATAGTCAATTACTCATATTTAAACCGTTTTGACATGTGTGTACCATTTAAATTCAGAGTTAAATGAGACTTGGGAAGAAAAACTCAAGAAAACTGAGGAGATCCGTGTACAAAGGGAAGCTGTCTTCGCAGAAATGGGCGTGGCCGTGAAAGAAGACGGCAACACCGTTGGTGTCTTCTCGCCGAAGAAAACCCCTCATTTGGTTAACCTTAACGAAGACCCGTTCATGTCCGAATGCCTAATCTACTACATCAAAGTGAGACCATCGATTAATTACATACAATGAAAAGTAGAACGTCGTCTACATCTGTTTTGTTACAGGACGGCATCACCAGAGTCGGTTCATCTGAAGCTAACATTCCTCAGGATATCCAATTGTCAGGACCTCACATAAAACCTGAACACTGTATGTTCGAAAATAAGGACGGAGTTATCACTCTAGTTCCTTGTGCTGGGGCAACAACATACGTCAATGGACGAGAAGTAAATCTAAAAAGACACAATTTTTGATCTATCGATTACATTGACTTGTCTTTTTGCTAGATGAAGGAGCCAACTGTGCTCAAAACCGGCTCAAGAGTAATTGTGGGCAAGAATCATGTATTCCGTTTCACACAACCCGAAGCCGCAAGACAACGTAGAGAAAAGAACAAAGACTTTACTAAAGAGGATGAAATGAACAGTAGTACGATTACAGTGGATGAGAACCAGGTCGACTGGAACTTTGCACAGATCGAACTGCTCGAAAAACAGGGTATAGATCTTAAGGTCGAAATGGAGAAACGTTTGATGAAAATGGAAGAAGATTTCAGGAAGGAAAAAGAAACGGCAGATCAACTCTTTGAAGAACAGAGAAAGGTTTGCTGGGAATTTTGACACGTATTGTTATAAAAGTATCTTTTTCTTTGCAGAGTTACGAAGCGAGAATAGATGCTTTGCAGAAGCAGGTTGAAGAACAAAGTATGACCATGTCCATGTACAGTTCATATACTCCGGAAGATTTTAACAACGAGGATGACATTTTTGGTAACTTTCTTTTAAAGCTTTTTGGCTAGCTTTCTGTGTGTCAGTAAAAGTCAGTGGGCTTTTATGTTGCATTTCGGCTTTGCTTTTGATTTGATCGCTTATTTCAGTGAATCCTCTATTTGACGCAGAGTGCAACTGGTCTGAACGAGATTTTGAGCTAGCGGCCATGGCATGGAGGAAGTGGAAGCACCATCAGTTCACTTCTTTACGCGATGACTTGTGGGGTAACGCTATCTTCCTAAAGGAAGCAAATGCCATCTCAGTAGAACTCAAGAAGAAGGTATATCATTGAGTTAGAATTAAAGTCGAATCTCTCAACATTTGTTTATGATCCTGATTTAGGTTCAGTTCCAATTCACTTTGCTCACTGACACTTTGTACTCACCCCTTCCACCTGATTTGCGCCCATCCGTGGAATGTGATCAAGATGGCGAATGTCCCATCGCCAAGACTATAGTGGGAGTCGAGGTTCAGGACATGAAGAATGGTGCGACCCATTATTGGAGTTTAGAAAAATTAAGGTAGACTTTTTCGTTGTCCCTTCGATATCATCTATTATCTTTTTCACTTTTCTTTTCTCTTTTTTGTGAAAACAGACAGAGGTTGGAATTAATGCGCCTGGTTTACAATGAAGAAATTTTCGAAATTCACGGTACCATTGATTTTGAAATAGAACGAAAATCAGCATTAGCTCATTGTTTTTCGTCATGTCCTCATTCAGTACAGCGTTTTTCAATTTCAGCACTCATACCATCAAGGTTGGTGCCATCATTACATCTTTGGCCACAACGTTCGCTTATACATATACTCAGTACTCACATAATAAAAAAAAAGGGTGGATAAATTAAAAGATCAGCAAACTTGGTCACTGACCAGATCGTGTTTCTTTTGATTAGTCCACAGTTAAGCTACACTTTCTACTTTGAACTCTTGCTCTTGTGCCTTTTGCGTGCATGTTTCTTGTCAGCTAGCAAGTCCTAAAACCGTATTATTGGGATCCGTCAAATGGGAGGAGCCTAAAAACATGGCGCCGATTAGGGAAAATTTATCGTAGTTCCTATAGTGTACCGTGCAATTTCCAAGTTTTTAAATTACGATAAAATGATAAGTATTGACACAATATGTGATTGGGCTGACACAAAGCCTCAGAAAGGAAATTTCGTTGAAGGTGAGCGTGTTTGTATAACAAATAACAAATCCGGAAGCTAGCCTTCAAATTCCGTCAAGTTTACTGCCTCCTTTTTACAAACTTCGGATTTAAATAGTGATTCACGTTATATAATTGGTGAGGTGATTCTGGGTGATTTAAGCAATATCATATCAATGACTTGTACGTGCAAAGCCTATTTAAGAGAACGTTACAAACACATTATTGCAACTTTGTTGTATTGCAGCAGGTAGGTTCTTAACCTCAAAATACTTGTATCGTATCATTAGAATTGTGTTAAATCAATTACACAGGAATAAATAATTTCTCACTTTATAATTTTAGTATGATTCTAGTTTTAAATATTAAGGTTATGGCTGATGGTAAATACTTGCTGAAATATAATCATGTGCATTAAAATGACGTGAACAAATTTTTATTCCGGAATTCACTTCTTTGATACCTACTGCTTTCATCCAAGCTTCTATTAGTTTACTTTTTTCTCTAATTTTCCGAATATATTTTTTACATATATAAAACGGTTAGTTTTTATTGGAAAGTAGTTAATGTAGGTGAAGAGTGAAGATCTATGTCTGAAGTGCTATTGCAGCTTTTCACTGAACATATTAACTTTTTATTTGATTTAACTTTAGAAGAAAACTTCGTCGACTCCATCATCAAAAAAATTTTTACTTTTTTAACGTGTTTTATTATTTTAATAAACAATTTTACAATTTGCGTGCACAGTTCCTATGTAAATTTTTCCCTCATTCGAGTTATAAATTTTGCCACCAGATGGTGTATGCCCATTTGACGGACCCCAACATTGGCAGTATCTTTGCCCAATACTTACACTTACGTACAACCAAATAGACACAATAGCTGAAATTAAATTAAACTTAATTTGTATATTCCATGTCCAGCGAATGTATAGTTTAGAGGCTATTGTGTTTAATTCATTTTAAAAGTGGAACTGTATTCTTACCTCCTGTATCTTTAGTTTGGCACCAACCTGTATCGGCTTGGGATGTTTTAAACATGGAAAGGGAATATTTTAGTGGTTTATATTTTTCATTTCAGACAAAGGTTAGAATTAATGAGGGAAATGTATCACAACGAGGCTGAATTATCTCCTACGTCTCCCGATTACAACGTTGAAAGTCTCACTGGGGGAGACCCATTTTATGATAGATTTCCCTGGTTCAGAATGGTCGGAAGGTCATTCGTTTATTTAAGTAATTTGTTATATCCGGTTACCCTAATCCATAAAGTTGCCATTGTTAATGAGAAGGGTGACGTTCGAGGTTATCTAAGGGTCGCAGTTCAGGCTGTTAATGAGGATGATAATGCTGATCAAGTTGGCGTTAGACAAAGTGTTCGAATTGCGTTTGAGTCGCCCAAAGGTAAGTTAAATCGTTTCGGAAGAATTGGAGATTTGGAACACGAGATTTTTACAGCTATTATTGACAAAAATATCCATAATCTCGACGATCGTATAATTGAAGGTCACTGTAATCTTGATCCGATTAAGATTGACGAGTTGATCGAATGTGACGCAGATTCTGGTAAAGGAGATAGCTCTGTAGCATCTGATTTTAAAGAGGAAGAAATTCCTGATCATCTTGGTGTTGGAAAAGAATTTACATTCAGGGTTACAGTTTTACAAGCTATTGGTATATCAGCAGAATACGCGGACGTGTTTTGTCAGTTCAAGTAAGACATTCGCTGAATAAAAATTACTAAAACTCATTACCTGCAACATTTTTTACAGCTTCCTACATCGTCATGATGAGGCGTTTTCAACAGAGCCAGTCAAGAATACTGGCAAAGGAACACCTCTTGGTTTTTATCATGTTCAAAACGTAAGTCTCATACGAAAACTTCAAATTCAGAATAATACCCACTTTATCCATTAGATTACCGTACCCGTTACAAAAACGTTCATTGAATACATCAAATCTCAGCCCGTCGTTTTCGAAGTTTTCGGTCATTATCAGCAACATCCTTTGCATAAAGATGCCAAGTTGGAGGGTACCGTCAGGCAGCCTCCCCGGAGAATGCAACCACCTTCCATTCCAATCTCTCAACCCGTTCGATCGAGCAAATTTGGAGCCCTACCGTCTCCGTGTACTGCTCATATACATGCTAAGGTTGATGTTCTGGTTTGGTTTGAAATATGTGAACTTGCTCCTAATGGAGAGTATGTTCCATCAGTAGTCGAACACAGTGACGAATTACCTTGCAGAGGTCTATTTTTACTCCATCAGGTATATTCTCACCTTTTCCTTGTATTTTTATCCTTATTCAACCTTTTCTTTTTCCTTTGTTACAGGGCATCCAACGTCGAATTAGGATCACAATCGTTCATGACGATTCAGCTGAGTTACGTTGGAGAGATGTGAGAGAACTAGTTGTTGGAAGAATACGAAATACTCCTGAATCTGATGAGGATGAAGACAACGACAATTCCGTATTGTCCTTGGGATTGTTCCCAGGGGAATATTTAGAAATACCTGGTGATAACAGGACGATGTTCAGGTTCGAAGCAGCCTGGGATAGTTCCTTGCACAATTCGCCTTTACTTAACAGGGTTACGTCACCTGGCGAGCAAATATTCATGACGATATCGGCATATTTGGAGGTATATTTTTGGGAACGAAACTTTACTTGGTAACCCATTGCCTTTTGCATTTTTTCAGCTCGAAAATTGTGGTAGACCAGCCATAATAACAAAAGATCTGAGTATGGTCATTTATGGGCGCGATGCTCGAATTGGACCTCGCTCTCTGAAACACTTGTTCTCTGGAAGTTACAGGAACGCAGAAGCAAATCGTTTAACCGGAGTGTACGAACTTCTATTAAGAAGAGCTAATGAAGCAGGTAGTCCAGGTAGATCCCTAGAATAGTATCCTTCTTTATTTTTAGGCTTTCCTCTATTACTCTTCTTCTTCTTCAGTTTTATGTATCTTTCAGAGTTTCGTTGAATGATTTATTTCTTCCCTGCTTTCAGTTGTTCTACAATGCATTTACTCCACTAGTAGAATGAAATACTAGTAGCAGACATTTATTCTCTTTCTTCGGGATACTTGTGGTTCTGCTTTGTTTTTTCATTTTTTCTTCAAATGGATTTTGTTTGTTACCAGGAGTTCAGCGTCGCCAGAGGAGAGTGCTGGACACCAGTTCGACTTATGTCAGAGGTGAAGAAAATTTGCACGGTTGGAGGCCACACGGTGATTCGCTTATCTTCGATCACCAATGGGAATTAGAAAAATTAACTCGTTTGGAAGAAGTTGAAAGAGTCAGGCACATTTTATTGTTGAGGGAGCGACTTGGACTGGACAAATACAACAATCAGATCAAGACGAAACAACCTGAATATACGAAGAGTGAAAAGGAGGTGTGCAATATGGTGGCCAAAACTGGAAACATCAATATTAGAGGTAAACAAAAGATACAGGGTTTGTCCGGAAAGTAATAGGACTGAGTCGATTTAAAAAAATTTATTGAGCCAGTAGTTACAATTCTTTAAAAACTTTCAAAGTAGGCTCCTTCTGCGTCGATGCAGTGCTGCCAGCGCGATTTCCAAGCATTGAAGGCGTCACGGAAGTCATTCTCCGGAATAGTCATAAGAGCCGCGGTGCATGCTGTTTGGATTCCCTCTGTCGTGTCAAAATGCTTGCCTTTCATCGGCCTTTTCAAGCGAGCAAACAAAAAAAAGATCGGGGGGGACCACATCTGGGCTGTAGGGCGGCTGCGGAAGCGTTGGGATGCCGGCCTTGGTCAGGTAGCTGTCCACAAGAAAAGCATTGTCGTGGTGCAACTTCCAGTCGGCTGCGATGTCTTGTCGGACCCGATTGACCCTTCCTTTGAGTCTCTTGAGTACTTCCACGTAAAACTTGGCGTTGACGGTTTGTTCAGGAGGAACAAAATTCATGGTGGACGATGCCTTTCATGTCAAAAAAGACAATGAGCAATCGTCTTCACTTTGGATTTGCTCATTCTTCCCTTTTTTGGGCGTGTGCCAGTCGGAAGTTTGCCTCTTTGTTTCGGGATCATACTCAAAGATCCAGGACTTTTCAGTGAGCACTTTTGGGACCATCTTCGCGCACACCTTGCGCATGTTCAAGATTTTGGTAAATTTAATATCTGGGAAATTAAACGAATACTTAGTCGACGGCTTGAGTTCAAAACTTCGCGCACACGAGTCATATTGTCGGTGTTTGTCGAAGTCGAAGGTCTTCCAGCACGGTCTTCATCGGCGACCTTCTCCCGGCCCTCTGAAAAGGCCAGGTGCCACCAAAACACACCACTTCTTGCTAAAGCAACATCTGCGTAAGCCTGCTTGATCATATCAAACGTCTCTGTCGCAGATTTACCGACTTTTACCCAGAAATTAATCGCGTACCTCTGCTCTAACCAACGCTGCATTTTTGGCTTGCACCACCCACAGAAACACGTCGCGCGAAAAAGCCTGTTCTGACTCTCCAGGTGCTCGGAGACAACTCACTAGCCGCTCGTTCGTTAGCTAGGAATGCCCTCTACCGAATCCAATCGGTGCGCGCACGCTCCGAAGTACAGTCGCGGCGGAAGGAAATCAGTCCTATTACTTTCCGGACAAACCCTGTAGTATGATGAACAATTGAGTGACCGGTCTAACTTGATGATGTTTTTTTTTCAGCCAATAACGACTCTACTGAGTACAGCGAACGGGAGAAGAATCTTCTTCTTAAGTGCATTCGTCTCATTCAAGGGAAAGTACGCGATTCGAATACGAAGGAAACGGAAATCACAAGTCCATCTGAAGATGTTACCGACATGAGCACTAGTTTGATGTCTAGCATGGTTTCTGGATGCTCAACCGAATTGTACTCACCCGAGAAAGTCGCTTTGCCAGGGGAGTGTGCACCTTTTCCAACTGCTCCCGCGTCACCTTCGTGTGGACTGAAGGATCCCGGTTTGGTTCTGTACGTTCCTGATATGGAAGAAATCCGAATCTCCCCGGTTATCGCCAGGAAAGGTTATTTGAATGTAATAGAAAACAAGTCTCATGGATGGAAAAAGCGATGGGTGGTAAGTAACCTGTATTTTTTAGCATAACTTAATCCACTAACGAACCCTCCCTGCACATTTTCGCCTAGTAAATTTTTATGTTATCAGCTAATACTTTATGATGTAAGTAAAACCTACATCGGTTAAAGAGAAAAAAAAATGAGGAGAACTTGCCCCAATTCTCTCTTAATCTTACATAACCACGTTAAATGTTTGCAATAATAGCTTTTTCATTCTTGGAGATGCTGCAAGCCCAATCAATATCTTCCAAACATTTCACATGGTTACAATCTAGGAATTCTACAACTTCCAAAAATAAGAACTGCGAAAACCTGCGCTTGTAAGATTGGTATGCCTGTTTTTAGATATATATTTTTAATTTCTTTCCAAAAGGAGATCCAAGGAGATGGTGAAATTTTTAAAGTACCCTTTAATTACTTCCGTTTTCCCTCTATTAAACCTTTTTCTCAATCCGATCTAATCTAAACTCTATTCTTGATTATCAATTCTCCGTATTGTCTAGGCTGTACGTCGGCCCTACGTTTTCATATTCCGAGATGAAAAGGATCCTGTAGAAAGGGCTCTTATTAACTTAGCCACAGCTCAAGTCGAATTATCCGAAGATCAGAATTCTCAAAACTACAATCCCAACACGTTCAGCGTAGTCAGCAAACACAAAAGCTACATGCTCCAGACGTTGAACGAAAAAGATGTTCACGACTGGCTCTACGCCATCAACCCGCTGTTAGCTGGACAAATACGTTCGAAATCGGCCAGACGTAATCCCAATAATGCCAATGATCAGAACCAAAACTTACAGACCGGCACCAACAGCATCAAGGTCCAAACTAAATGAGATATGATCAATATGGAGCCCGTACTCGTGTATTAGATGTTTTCAGATATATTTTTTGGGGAAAAGCTGCCCCTCTCTCTTTTTTATCCGTTGATGATGATAGTATTATTAATACTAATGATAATAAGATAATAACAACTACTTGATCTGATTGTCGATTGTACTTTTATGGCGGCTTTGACTATTCGATACTTTATCATTTACAGTTTAAAGAAAACATTGTAATATGATTTTTATTAGTGTTTATTACACAAATATGGACTCCATATTGATACACGATGAAAAATAAATAGGAAGGTGGATGAGCTTGTGGGAGTAGGTGCTTAATTTATTTTGGATTTCAATTAATCTTTAATTAAAATTAGGTTGATCTGGAGGTGTTAAAGGTTTCGGTTGATATAAGGGTGCAGTTGTCCAAAGTCTGTATCGTATAAGGTTGAATGGTAATTAAATTATCTTTTAAAAGGTGGCGTGGCTGACGGTGTTTGCTACTAACATTTTAAATAAATAAATAAGAAAAGTAATACGATTTAGTTTAGATTTGTTTTGCATGGTCCTAAATTGTTGTCAACACACCTGGGAGGCATTTAATGGCAAAACGGCCCTAGCAAATGTTTTGTCTTATGATACTAAGGCGCTTGTTGAAAATCACCGGCCGTTTGGACATAAAGATTGCACTATTGGAGTTGAGGTAGTGAAGAGTCTTCTTCAATGTTTCGGAAAATGATTTGGATGATGGTATTGAAGAGATAGGAGTGTTATTTTTTGCTTTATTGGCTGTTTTTACCATTTGTATGCTTTTGGTGACGTCTGCCCTCAAAAATGTGTAGAGAACGAGATGAATTCGCCAACGGTATTAGCAATACGGCGTTGGATTCAAGATTCTATCGATTGTGAGTGTTACCACTCGGTATCTTTCGCTGTATTTCTAAAAGTGGCGATGAACTGTCCATCTTGCTCTTCATATTTCCTTGTAGGTATAAAATTTTAAACATTTTTTTATTTCTGATTTGTGATATAAATAAAATAAATGAAAAGCGTCCAAAGTGGTAAAATATGCTAATCGAGCAAAGACACTTGACTCCAAAAAAGTCTATCCTCATAATCGGCCAGTTAGCCGGGCGATCGCGTCAAGTAAACATCCTAAGAATGTCCTAAGATCAAACACTCATGAGTAAATTATTTAGGGGGGAGGGGGGCTCGTTTTGACATGGAATGTCCCAACTATTAATTGAGTACTGTCTGCTTTGCTATTGACGTAAGAAATAAATCTCAAAGTAGGCGATATTGTAATTGTAGCGATTAAAGTTTAAGACTTACATAAGTTTACATCAATGTCCATCAATGAGTTAGTTGTTTATTCACCTTTTAAAAAATAATTCAATCGATATAATACATATACCCGTTTTCTTAAATGTATATAACGAAAGAAGATGGAACTAGTCAAAAAGTATTATTGGTAGTTGTATTTAGAAAATTTTCTCTTTTGTTTTCAACTTTATTATGACAATTTTGTATTTTTGTATTTTATTTATTGTAGGATTTTAGTGGAAGAAGCAAGCGTCGTTTCTATTTCAAGTATATTCGTGTTTGTTTATTCACTAAACGTCACCACAGCAGCTCTTAAAAATTCGCGACTTTTTGGCTGGAATTACTAAGTGTCTGTCATTAGAATAATGTTAAAAAAATCCTTCTCAGTGTGACATTTAACGAACAAAAAAAAAACATGCACTTTTGACAAATACGTCGTCTCCCTCTAGTTTCATTTTGATGCATCCCTACTTCCCTAAAAGTGTATTTGTATATATACAGCCCTTATTGTTCGTTATTTATTGTATGTCTAATTTTTATTCTATTATTTATTTATTTTAATTTTTGGTTATGATACGTCACTGTGATATTTTTTCTGTAAAAGAAGCATTGAAAAATTGCAAAATTAGGAATCTATACGAATAAATGCGTTAAAATTTTTTGGTATGTATTAAGTTTTTTTTCTCTACATTTATTGTCTAATTTGATCTTTCCCTTTCATCGACCAAGCATAAAAAAGTGTTGGATAAATCTAAATCATATAAGGATGTACACGACCTATATATTTTTTTATCTCGCGATTAATTGTTTCTGTTTAATTATATTATTTATATTTTGACACCTGTGCTACGCTTAGAGAATTGCTATAAATGTATAAAAATGTATTACTTACGTATTATTATAGTATTAGATAGATAGGTATATCTTTTAACAAAAAAGAAAAACTTTTCGAACCCCTTTCTGGCAGAAATCGTAGAAGAAAAAAAAAGATAATTGGAATACGGTTTTTGCCACTGTTTCTTTATTATTATATTGTATATGTTAATTATTGTGTATGCATTAAAAATTACCTAAAATTTCTTATTGTTATTTACTTTCCTTCATCTGTCATCATCACCGCAGGGTCGTCAGTCTAAAGACGCATTGAACTAGGGTTGTCATGGTTGGGATTTGGCGGGATTCTCCCGAATTTTTGTATGTCCTCCCGACTCCCGAATAAAATAAAAAATCTGATGAAAAACGATTTCGTTTTATAAAAAAGTAATTTTAAGTTTTGAGTATTCGTCAAGCGACCGCAGCGTGTTTACGTAGTGTTATTTGTTTGAAACATCCCTAATTTAAGTACAGCGAACGAGGTTCCTTCAACAAAGTTGTCACATAATATTAATAATATGAAATTTAAGGAAGAAAGGAGACTTTGTTCTCATGAAATGAGCTCTTAAATCTAGTAGAAAAATTGAACATTTCAAATGACATCAATAATGACGAATTTTGTATAATGATTATTGTTCTTTAAAAGAATCACAATTTAAATCACCTCCCAGAAGGGAAAATGAATTTGCCCAATGACAAAATATGGGCATATTTTATTAGCAGGTGCAATGAGTAAAAAAAATATGTGTTTGATTTGATAAAAGCAGAGTTAATGATTCGACTTAATTTTGAGGAAAATTGTTTGGATTTCGATCTGGCAACCCTACATTAGACACGCATCTCTACTAAATGTCTCTAACTAGCTCTCCAAATCTTAAGTGTCCTATAATACTACCTCTCATTTTCCTCACTGATTTCCATGACGCCTTTTGTTGTTCAACTTTTTCTAATACCTCCCCATTTCTAAAACCCTTACTGTCTACGCTATTATCATCGTCTGTCTTTAACACCATATCTCAAACACTTCTAACTTTTCCTTTTTCGTTCACGTTTCACACCCGTATACAGCCGTGCTCTAAACATACACTAGTAAAAGCTTAATGATCTTTTTTAAATTATAATCCTTTTTAAATAAATTTACATACTCTAGGCTGACTTCAAAACAAATATATTAACCAGAGGCGTACACAAAGAATGCTATAATTAAATGGGTCTTAAGGAATAAGTAAAGAACCTATTACATTCACAACTTAGTTCTTTTGAAATTTCGTCTCGCTATCTGATAAATGGATTAGAATTTGCAAATCCAATAAAGTTACTTTTACTTGTAGACAAAATTCATTAACTGTTTCTGTGTCTCTTCTGATAATTCAATATTCTATGTGCGCTCCTGGTATATACTTCTAAAAGATATTAATAGCATCAAAACAGCGCCGTTTAAATTCAAAGCGGTTAAAAAAACGAGAAGCATTTGGTCCTTCGAGCCGGATAATAACTGTCTAATGCAAATTAATATGACGTTTAACGAAATTCCTGAAAATTTAAACTCGCGGTTGCTACAAGCCACTAAAGAACAACTTACAACGACACCGGCATATCTATTAAAAGAAAAATATTAGTCAATTTTACGTAATTGGATTTTCTTTTACGGTATTCCGTATATTGGTTGTGGCTAAAAGCGAATGCTTTAATGCATAAATTTTTCTTTTTTGGATAGAATGGATAACAGAAACTACTTTGTGATGACATTTTTATGTATATCGACACTAATCATAAAATTTGAAGACGCCTCCACGATATTAACTGGTATTTCCAGACAATCTGTTTTAAGGTAAAGGTCAAGAAAAATGTTTACGCAGTGTTGGAGGTAGGCAAGCATATTATATGATGCATACATAGGTACCCTTGATCTCGTTTACTATGGTCATCTTAATACACGTACATGGACTCCGCACGTTTGTAATATCCGGATAGAGAATGCATGCACGATGAGTTATAAAACTGTATAAAAAATAATTTGTATTTTTTACATTAATAACAATCTCGTGTTGTTTATTTTATAAAATCAAAACAGAAGTTAATAAACAAGACTTTTATATGCTAATAATGGCTAATCTCTCATTAAAAAAATAAGATTTTTAAAATAAATGACGTGGATTACAAAACACGAATAAAAAAATACAAAATTAACTATTGTGTTAATTTATAATTTGTACACCTTGTTACTTTCAAATAATAGGTATTATGCAGATTAGAACGTGAAGAGCAGTTTTTTTTTAATTACAATACAAAGGAAATTCCAATATTATAATGGCAAATAAATTAATTTAGTCGGAACTTGATGATAGCAAAGATGACCCAAACAAATATGTTTGACTGCTACAATCGGAGGTCAAGATAGCTTCTCTACAAAAAAAATAAACTAAATCTGTGTCTCACAACACAAACAAATTTAATAATTTCTCATATTAAAAGAAGTATACAGGGGTTAATCAGAAAGTCCAAATTTTATTAGAAATAATTATTGGCTACTGAATAAATAAATAGAGATAATTTTGTTGACAATATCTACATTTTTCTGCTTAAGTTCATTCCTCAAGCTTTTTACCAAAAAAATACCCTAAAAGTTACAGTAAAATATGGACAAGAAACAGTTTTTATTTTGTTTTCGAAATTGTTAATTTTTGATACGTTTTTATAAAACTTTTTATCTGATTGAATTGTTTCAGATTTTTTAGCCTGAAATCTTCGAAGATGTGATGGTACAGTTAGGTAGAGGTACCCATGTAGTAATTTTACAAATTTTTCGAAATGAAAATCTTGTCTAGATATAGAGATGAGAGGGCATATTGTAAACGATCTCCAATTTTAACATATCAGAAAAAGACTTTAAGGATGTTTGGGAGGTACAATCGGAGACAAGAGTACATAAAATTAGAAATTCGTGATTAATTAGGTTTTGCAGCATATCATGAGGTAAATAAATACTATCTATACT